AATTTGCGGGACTTGTTCTGTGCAGCTATCGGATTGTTGCGCGCGCCAATTCATTTCGGCGCACGGTCCATAGCTGCCAGCGCTGCATTACTCGTCGTAGGACGTTTCTCCGCGGTCGCATGCGCCTTGCCGCGGAACTGTGCGCCAAGATCTGGCGGTATAGCGCTTTTGGGATCCAAACCTCCTTTCCGCGCAACGCTTCTCTAGTATCCCGTCTCATCTTGGTTATGGTGTGTTCTCTCCCCGCGTGCTACTTATGACTTCACGTCTAGTTGCTGCCATCATATATTGACCGGTTTCGCGGTCGCATGCTGCCTTACTCTCCCTACTGCCTAATAATCTGCGAGTAGCGGCAAATATTCGGTATGCCTGCGCGTGGACAGCAGCTAGCCTTACTGCGTTTTTTGCGCTGCGCTCTACCGGCGTGCAAACACACAGCCGCGCGCTGTGGAGGTGAGGATTTGTTCATAATACACTCGATTGAAATCTGCATGCTTTACGTCATGCTCATGATAAAACTTAGACTGAAATCTGCTTTCACATTATATTAAAGCTTATAAAAGACTAATAACGCTTGAAGTCTGATTGTTAGACACTCTAACATGCATTCCATACATACATACTAAATTGATATACTAATATAATATTAGCTATTATATCATTTTTAAACAAGTGAAGTGTTCTGGTGTGTGGTTCACTACATATGAGCGTGCACTCGCTACGTACGGTATACCTAATACAATTGAAAAGGTCATCTTGATTGTCTTGATTTTCGCTTTTGGAATGAGACCTCTCGAACTAGCTCGTTTCGATTCGACCTTTCCATTAGATTGTCCAGCTACGTTCAAAAAGAGAATATAATAATAATGTAGTAATGTTTTATCACGATTGAACTCTAATTAGAATTTATTAAAAGCATTGGGAAATTACACGAATTACATAATATAGGTTATCTAATCATATCCTGCTCAAAGCACACAAACTATACGCATGACAAAACTCAATTGTTTTTTGCTCAAACTAATCTTCATTAGACTTGTACTGAGTAGATTAATGAATATGCGTTTCGCAGTGTTACATCCATAGAAATAATATAGATATAGTAATCTATATTATTTCAATGGTTACATCAGAGGTGCATTTCAGATTTATATGGCTGCTGTTCATGTTTTCTTGTTCTTCTGCACCATCTGTTGATACTGCCCCATTAAATTTCGGTAAATTTTGTATGAAACCAAATTCTGCGCTTTCTCACGTTTATACTCACAGTATAGCTATTACATTAAACATTAATCACTCACTTTCACACGCCCACCTACGCACGAATGTGTGATGCGCAAATGATATTTACCTCGTATGTAATTTTAATGTCTGGCGGCGTAATTTGATGGAATGAATTCAGGCAAATTTGTGTTTATTCTGAGCCTTTCTCATGTACCGTTCGATCAATGACTAATAGCTAACTCGATATCGTCACGCAGAATGAAGTTGACCAAGTTGGCAATTTTTGTAACACGACTAAAAGCCTGGCAACATGATGATACTTTCGCATCGACCCACTTCTGTCTATCATTCGACATATTATAGTCCGTTAGAGCTGCGACATGAGACCTGCTCCGTTACAGACCTGCTCCGTTTACTGACCGAAAATCTCCTATATATACGATATATACGCTATATATCGCTATATATACGCTATATAACGCGAATATACGCTATATACGCTATATAACGCATATATAATTATACGCTATATACGCTATATACGCCATATACGCTATATACGATATATACGCTATATATCGCTATATATACGCTATATACGATATATCGCTATATACGCTATATACGCTATATAACGCGTATATATACGCTATAATAATAACGGTTATATACGCTATAATATTATAACCTATATACATTATATACGCTATATACGCTATATACGCTATATACGCTATATACGCTATATACGCTATATACGCTATATACGCTATATACGCTATATAACGCTATATATATATACGCTACATAACGCGTATATAACGCGAATATACGCTATATAACGCATATATACGCTATATACGCCATATACGCGATATACGCTATATACGCTATCTCAATGGTATCTAAAGTCTGTCCTGGGGGCCTTGTTTATCTGTCAATAGCATATGCAATGGCGGATAGGGAATTGCAGTTCGTTGTAAAGATGTGAAGATGTGGAGTGTTTGAAAGGGGATGAGGTGGTAATGCGGTGGTATGAATAGCGGTTTTGTCAGTGTGCTAGGTCTCGCATGTAGGATGACGGAAACGTCTAAATCACGTTGGCATGGCAGGCGTGTGGCACTGTGCGAGCGACGGTGTTTCCCAGGTGGTGATGGTTGGGTGGGTCTAAATGCCTGGAGGACAATGATGGGGGAAACGCGACGAGCGTTGGTAAGAGTAAGTGTTGTGTGGGTGGTAAGCCTGTGGTATTAAAGGGGAACTTCAAGAAATCCACAGGGAATGAACAGCTTCGGTTCACGCGAGATTAGAGTCGCGAGAGTGCGAAGCACGAGGGCGGGGCGGCATTCCGCAAAATAAGTGCCGACTCAAAAAGTTGTTGTCAAATGTACGCAATTGTTGTATAGAAAAGAAATATTAAAATTGATTTATTTCTAGGGCAAAGATCGATAAACTAACGCTTCGGCGAGAGGAAAGTCGAGAATATTCAGTGTGTTTCCTGAACACACCTCACTCTCTCACGAGTGGTGTTTCAGTCCCAAATATGCATGCGGGAGCCGTGATTAGAAGTGTCTAGGAAATGAGAGCAATATGGAAGTGATCGCTGTTTGGCGTTTGGGTGGTGGACCGGGTGTTAAAAACTAATTTTTTGAGTAAAAAAGAAATATGTGTTTTCTTTACCTACCGACCCTACCCTTCTAAAAAAATTGAGTTGGAACGGTAAACAGACCATTAGATACTTATTTTATACCTAATATCGAATTAATATCAGCAGTTTGTAATGAATTGATGACTGTAGGAATTGGAAATCCTAATTATCAGCAGTTTGTTTGGTCAGCCATTAATCTAATTCCAGGAGGCTTGTCTGGGTGCAGGCCTGCTAGAACATCACGTGTCTGTGGGCCGCTGTCTGGGGTTTAACATGTTTTGATAAAGAAACTACATGATTCAAGGTGCAGGAATTTGGGTGACACTGCGGCAGGAATAAACATGCCATTTACTTGACTGAGCGAAACACTGGTCACTGGCTGTTGTGTAGCCTACGAACTGGATGATTGTTATTGCAAGAAACAAGGCATATCTGATAGTTCGGAAAGTCATAGCTTAAGCAGCAGGAGATACAAAGGTGGATATTAACTTGTAACTTAACGTCAGGCTAGCAAAGTGTTTTTCCGCGGCGTCAATACTGCACCAGCGGTGAACGTGAAGATGTGGTGAGCACATGTTCGTGAAGAGCCGTTCATTGAGACCCGATTTTGGGATATCCCAACGGGGGCATCCAATGAGGGGCGCATTCCTTATACTTAAAAATACACTTAGCGAATAAAAATTTGCTGTTTTTTTTATAGTATGACATCACAATTCAAATTTCTATTCTTAGGAAGTATGCATCATATCTATCTGTTTCTTTAACTTTCGTTCTGGACTGTTTAGTATGTACTTCTGCCACTTCACGCCATTATTTTCAAAAGTATAATAATATTTACTACATTTAACACGTTTAGCTAGACCACCCCTCCCCAGAATAAACTATTGGGTACATAGATAATGAATCCGCCGCAGCAACTGACCGGGAACACTTCACGCGGAAGCCCTCATGTAGGTTACGACGCATCAAATATTATTACTAGTGTGGGAGTGGAGGGGAGAGGGAGTCATTATTAATTTCTATTTCGTGGCGCGTTTTTTAATTAAATTAATGTCTTTTTATCTTTTGATTTCTTATTATTTTTTGTGTTTGGTGGGGAGAGTTGGCGATGGAGGGAGGGGGCATGCGCAATGGGGAATCGGCAGGGGGCGCCGCGGGGGAGAGTGCGGCAGGTGGGCGCACGCCGGCGATGCGGCGCCGGTGCGACCTCGGGATGGCGCGCAAGCTCGAGGCGAGCGGAGTGTGTCCATACGCCGGCAGTGGAGGGGCGATGCATCCGCATGAGCGGAGGGGATCGGCGCGCACTCTGGGATGCATGGATGGAACTGGCGATAGTATGATGTGACTGCATAGATACGATCAGTTCCGACCTTTTTAGTCTATTTTTCCTTTTCACACCAGCGTAACTAACTGAGTAACGCGCTCCCACTGATTCCCCCCGGGCAACCGTCGGGATTCGCTAGTTTTATGATGAAAGACAAGAAGTTGCTCAAAATTGGCGAGAAATTTGTATTTTTTACTTTCGCGGCTGTCGAGGTTTTCAACTCCTCGACACCTACAACGCTATTAGGCAAGCAGTACTACACCCCACTGGCGCCACAGCGCAGAGCTCGCACGAGACGCGTACTAACATTGTTACATGGTAGTGATATGACGTCCGATCGATACAGCGGTATGGTATCGGTACCAGTGTTTAAATACAACGGCTTCAAATTCAACTTTATCTCCTGTTTCTATCATTAGCAAAAGTGCGCCAATATTGTACTCTAGCGAGTGGTAATGCATCGTTTACAGTCAATCAATGTTGAAAATCATGCGGGCAGATTCAGAGATAATGCTAACAAAAATGGGCTGTTCCTTTTATAGTATAGGATAAAAGCATAACACACCACAGCTCAACGCGCGCGCACACGCGCGCGCGCACGCACGGCGACGCACGCACGCACGCACGCACACACATCCCCACATCACAGCACACCCAGCATGCACACCGGCGCACCAGTCGGGAAACACACACACACACACACACACACACACACACACGCGCGGTCCCCCACACACACACACACATATCATATACCATATATAATATATATATAATACTACTAGTACAATACGAAAAACTCACCGTAGCTGCCGCGATGTTTGGTACTAAAGAGACAGTATATGAGTGGGTTTGCGGCAGAATTCAAAGGCGCGAGAGCCTGAACCAATCCGCTGACTTTTACATCAAAGTTTGGTAACTTTCCGTAGACGTCCAGGAGGTCGTAAAAGAAGTACGGACTCCAACATATGATGAAAACTAGAAGAGAAACGTCACAGCTGGTGCTTCGCGGGGGTTTCAATTAAACGGGTTTTTAGGTTAATGGTGTGAAATAGAAGGAATCAATCAAGTATCGCTGGCGAACCAAGCGAGAAGCTGAAAACTGCTAATAGTCAGGGCGATGGGCGTATACACAACCCACAGGGAAAAAGCTGCATCTGTCCGAATAACACGCATGATGTGCAAGGTAACCCATCAGGGACCGCATGCTAACTAAAATAGTCGTTAGCGTTGAAAGGCGCAGGTATACTGTACTGTTTCTTAACTAGGCAAATAACTGAAACGACTAAGTTCAGCCAGACTAAAGGCAAACAGACGGACCGACGAACGGCCTGCCAGACGGACGAACGGACGGACGGATACACACACACACACACAGGGCATCAGTCACACACCACACCACACACACACACAGCACAGGTCACACGAACACATACACACACACACACACGACACAAGCCACACAACACGAACACCACACACACACACACAAACACACGCACACACACAGCACACACATACACACACACACATAAACACACACTCCAGCACAGCTCACGATCACCACACACACCAGGTCGCTTCTGCAGTCCACGACACGAGTCACGTGACTAACACAACCACCAAAAATAATGTAATGACAAATAATGGCATGTCCACGTGGGCAATGAAATATCAACAAATGCCACACACCAGCGAGCATCTAGCAAGGAGTGAAGTAACCTGTAATGTTAAGTTGATTTCGCGATGAGAGACAATAACTGTTACACAAGCTATCAAGTACTATACTAAACTTGATATATAAGTGGCAATCAATTAGAGTAAATTCAGCTTATATTATTAGCTGAGTTCTTTCACTTTTAAATCAAAGCTATGAATGGTCTGCTTCTAGCGTGTGTGGTCTTCTCTCGATGAAGTTTGTTATCTAATTAAGTAGAAGACTGTGCTCACGCGTAATTTTTTTCTCGGAGCAAGGAGTCGGGATATGCCTATATTGACCACAATGGGACAGGTCGATTGCGGTTGAGAAGTCTCCTGTCTTATGATTTTTCGACGTGTTCTAGATGGAGAAAAGCGTTCTCTCGACAAGACAGGCACTCTCGCTAGTAATTAAACGATCACAGGGACTCCGTCTCCATCCCATTAGATGTCGCAGACTACTGAGATTCCACGCTGGTCCTAGTTGTCAAGTGACCACGCTGCCATGTTGCTGAGGATACAGAGAGATGAAGAATATAATAATGCAAGAGTAGTAATGTAGGTTTAGTTTATACCGGAGAGCGTTGAGTTTTTGCAAGGTGATGTATGAGTAACTCTTTTTGAGGAGATGGATTAGTATAAGATATCTGCTAGTTAAAACTCCATTTGCGAGAAATTTTAGATCTCACATACCTAATCATATACATATAAATATCGTAAATATATCAGTATATATTCATAATATCCATGTGATTCTCTCACGGACAAATGTAGAGCTCACGACAGATACATCTTAATACGCATATAGTTAACATATAACACATTAGAGATGATTTTGTATGTTATTAGATACAAGCAGCTGGAATCATATCAGAATTTATGAAATCGTATGGTAATCTTGTGTGCGAGAGTAGGATTAATGTAACTCACAAAGGGAGCATGTACGCGTAGTGAGAGTGTAAAGATAGCGAGATAGAATGAGAGCGAGAGAGAGAGAGTTAAGTCCATAGTATATAAAAGAATGTGGATAAAGAATGTTTATGTAAAGCTATGATTAGAGTACAATGGTGATACCTCCCACCACGCGCTTGCATTTCAGATTTATATATGGGCGATGGGCTAGTTGAGCAGTATGAAGATAGGTACGCAAGATGTGTGTCTATGATGGAGCAGAGAATGCGTAGCGGGCATGAGATAGATAGTAATAGCTACACAGGTTGTTGATGTAATTCGCTGCGCTGTCCTATGTATACTATTAGTTTTTTTTTCGGTTAGAGATCTACTTTGTGATGTAGTAACCAGAGAAACACTTTGCTGGCGCGCCGAGTTGGCTTTCTCACTGTTTATACTCACAGTTTTATAGTATTAGATTAAACACTTAGATTCACTCTGACTATTTCACTATCACGATCAACTACAGCGTCGAACTCCATCGGTGCGATATGACATAGCAGCGAAAGCCTAGGTGCCATAGCCATATGCGCACACGATAGCAGACTGATACGTTATGAGGACCTGCGTTGGGATGCGCTATGGCAAAATTATGTAATGTCATATGTTCTGGCGGCGTCAATTGATGGAAACTACTGAGCAATTCAGTCTAGGTCTCAAGCATATATTGTAGCCTTAGCGTTTAGAAAATATCGTAGGTAGCCTTTCTCCATTGTCTGCATAACTCACCCGTTCGGATCAATGTACGTAAATACTTAACTAATATAATCTTATCGCATGTTTACACGTTGCGATCATGTCACCGAGTAGCACGAGAAGCCGAGGACAATAGCATCAAGTTATGCTTGGATCTCGTTAGGATGTTCATAATCTTAAACGTCCATGATAATCCCCACAAGTAGCGCACATATATATATTGTCACACGCAGGGATTTTCACCAAAGCAGACCCTGGTCTGCGCGATTTCTTTTACAATAGGCTATCAGGCTCAATCCAATCTGACTGTAGATATGATGCTGTGGGCAGCTCTGAACGCTGGGTCTTAACCTTTAGCTTGGTTTTTGGCGCACAGAATTTGCTTGTCCTATGCTTTGCTCTGTTTTGCAAGCCCCATGTAATTGGTTTAATCATGTGTTTACAGATGACAGAGTCGCTTTACACATTAAAGAAGACCAGGGAACACTCATTGATGACCAGTCTGTTCGACAAGTGCGAGAAGAATTCTTACGCAGCTCTGTCTATCATTCACGCACAACAAGCTTTATATAGCATAGGGGTCCGTGAGAGCAGTCAGAGGGCGTATGCATTCTGACATCCTGCTCCCGGTACAACCGTCCATAGCTACCAGTTTCATACTCGTGGATACCATGACCGAATAATCTCGCTATAACTATATCGATGATATACGCTAAATGCGCTATAAGTATAACACGCGTCACATATTAGTAAGAGATAGATGAAACAATACGAGTGTAGTATGTTGCTTATTATACGTCTATATAACGACTATATAAATATCCGTCGAGAGGGGTATATATTGTTAATCGCTATTACTCCATTATATAAACGGTGAGTCATTGACTCTACGGCTATATGAATATCATGATTGTTACTGTCGATATAATTCACGAGAGTACGCTATAGCTAAGCGATATATCGCTTAGTACGCTATATTAACCAGCACTATAGTATTACCCGCATGATATTCATGTAAACATAGAGATACGCGTCTACTACTAATAATTGACGAACGTTATGATACTAGAATGCATTTATGTGGCGAGTAACCGATAATTATAACCTATATACGCTATATAACCTATATACGTTATATACGACTATATACGCTATATACCGCTATATACGCTATATACTGGCGCTCATATGATTCGTAAACCTGTCAAAGCCAGCTGCTGAATATTAGTGTCGTTCTTTTCTATATATAATCACTGCGCTTATTAGTTAATTAAAGAAGTATGATGAGGACCCGCATAGAGCGTGGCACTAACGGCGCTATAAACATGCTCTCTAGTCTGTTTGGCAGCTCTCGTCCTGGTTGGGTTTTCTGTTGTGGTAGTCTGGCTGGTTTTGGGACTAATCCATCTCGTTCACCCTTTGTTTGCACAGATTAGTCAATAAATGATATTTCGGCTTATTTTATATTGCCCATGTGGGAAATGGATGCCCGATGTGTAGCAAGTATCATATTCGGCCTGAGAATTATGATATTTGATTGTAAGTTTTAAAGTTCTAGAATTATGCACCGAGCTAAGATTAATTCGGTTGAGGCATCTTAAATATGATTCGGCTAAGATTACGACCAACTATACACAGTTTCGCATAACTACGCTAATATACGCTATATAAACGCAATATATACGCTATATACCCATATACGCGATATACGCCTATATACCTATGGTATCAGGACAAATAAACCCGCCCGACAATTACGCCGCCCCCGGACAATACCTCCGGACAATTACCGCCCCGGACATGTTACGACCGGCCCATGCCATTCAACCCCCGGACAATTTACCCCCCGGATAATCCTCCCCCGCGGACAATTACCCCCGACATTTAACCGCCCGGACTTTACCTGCCGGAACAATCAACCCCGCCGGAACATTTTTACGACCCGGACATTTACCTCCGGACATTTACGCCCCGGACAATTACCCCCCGGAGCATTTAACCCCCCGGATATATAAACATTTACCCCCGGACATCCGCCCCCCCGACAATTACCTCCCGGACAATTTCAAAGGAGGAGTTCACGGAGGACGACGGAGAAGGTAATTCGGAGGAGGAGGGATATAGGAGGAGGTAGAGTAGGTAGACGGAGGTGCAAGTGGTGGTTGAGGAGGAAGGAGAACAGGAGCGGGAGAAATGGAAGCGTGCCCCTCTCTACCTCCATCCCCTCCTCCACCTCCTCTCCTCCTCTCCTCCTCTCCTCCTGCCTCCACCTTCTCGCCTTCTCCTCCTCCCTCCATCCTCCACCATCCTCTTCCCACCTTTTCCCCCTACTTCCTCCTCCACCTCTTTTCTCCTCCCTGCTTCCTGCCACCTCGCACCTCCTCCTCCTCTCGCTCCACCACCTTCTCCCCTTCTCCTCCACCACCGTGGCCGCTCGCTATTCTCGCGCTTCTCTACTCCTCCTCCTCCACCGTTCTCTCCCTTCTCCCCCCTTCTTCTCCACCACCTTCTAACCCCGTTCTCCCCTCCTTCTCCTCCGCCTCCTCTTCCTCTCTCATCCTCTCCTGCTCCTTCTCCACCTTCTCGGCCTCCTCCTCCTCTCCTCCTCCTGCCCTCCTCCTCCTCCGCCACCTTCCCCCCCTCATCCTGCACCACGTTCTCTCCACGCGTTTCCCCCTCTTCCTCCTCGCACCTCCCCCTCCTCTTCGCTCCTCTGTCCTCCTACCCCCCCTGCCTCCACCTCATCCTCCTCCTCTCTCCTCCACCTTCTGCCCGCCCTCCTGCCTCCACCACCTTATTCCCCACGTTCTCCCTCTCCTCTCCCTCCTCCTCCTCCTCCTGCCTCCTCCTTCCGTCCTCTCCTTCTCCCTCTCGAGCACCTTCTCCCCCCTTCCTCCTTCCCTCCCCACCTCTCCCCCTCCCTCGTTCTACAACCACCTTCTTCTCCCTCTCTCCTCCTCTTCCTCCTCGACTTCTCCGCCCCTGGCTCCTCCTCTTAAACCCACCCTCTGCCCTACCTCTTTGACGCTCCTCCTGGGTATCACTGGTTCAACAATGGATAATAAACATCAAGTGGAGTAAGTTGTCCGGGGTAAAAGTCCGGGGGTAAATGTCCGGGAGTAAATGTCCGGGGGGTAATTATCCGGGGGGTAAATGTCTGGGGGTAATTGTCCGGGGGGTGATTGTCCGGTTGGTAATTGTCCGGTTGGTAATTGTCCGGTGGGTAATTGTCCGGGGGTAATTGTCCGGGAGTAATTGTCCTGGGGGATTGTCCGGGGGGTATTTTGCCTAGAACCATACGCTATATACGCTATATAACGCGTATATACGCCATATACGCTATATACGCTATATAACGCGTATATACGCCATATA